ACAGGCGAACGGGGAAACCAACTACTGAAGCTGTCCGTAGTGAGAACTTCACTAGCTAACAAATATTTTTTGTGTTGCTGAACCAACCTTCCTAGTCCAATATATTTGACTCGCCATAATATTACTGCATAATCTATAGGATCTTATATTCAAATCATACCACTGTATACCATGACCTAGCTTATCGTGGAGGCTGTTGTTCTCCTCTTTACAGTATTCGTAGAACGAAAAAAGCTTACAAGCAGAATACTGTATATGATATGAAGGCGAGAGAGATTTGTGTGACAGCCATTCCTCAATGGCTGACCATCCATCCTCTAGTACTAATAAACACTTTCACAATCTGACCTAGCTTTTTAGTAGACCTTGGACAGCATGCAACTACTGAGTCACTTTAAATTTCAAAAATTGCGTTGTCTTCACGAGAACCTGTGGCCTTCATACATATACACCTTATTTACGTGTTCTTGTATTTCTACAATTATGCACTTTATGTGTACTTGTGTATATGTCTATCACTCATCATCTTTATCCAAAACGTGTCTCTTTACCACACTACGCACTATGTATTTTTAGCTACGTTAGTTCTTTTAATGTGTATTATCGCTATTTGGTGTGTTTGCTTTCTCTTATCTGCTTCTTCCCTTTGTTTCCCTTATTGTATGTCCTGAGCAACGAGTGTTTGAAATATACGTATCCAAAGTTATTTCTCATGACTTGATTACTCTGTTTTATTGTTCTCAAATGCGAATTAGGTAGTTAATTGTATGCGAAGTTTGTCGGAACGTATTTTTAATTGATATTATTTGATTTAGTTGGAATCAGACCAATATTCAGTGAAACCTCTACCATTTTCTATCAAGTGTTCAACTTTTAGAAGTAAACCTGCAGATAGCTAAGTTACTGAGGTCATTTTAGTTAAGGGACACACTTTCACTTAGAGTCTCAGGCTTATAGCTATATACTATTTTGAAATCGTCTGCATATAGGTAATGTTTGGCAAATTTTATTATGTTAAATATATCGTTTATATACATAAGAAACAAGAGTGGACCTAATACACTTCCCTGGATGACTCCAATAGTTATTGGCCTAGGTGATGAGAGACAGTCATTGTACTTTACCATCTGTTTACGTTCTGTTAAGAACAAAGCGGACCATGAGTATAGTGGGTTGTTTATTCCGAAGGACTTTAGTTTGATAAGAAGCCTTTTATAAAGAACTTTATCAAAGGCTTTGTTAAAGTCTAAGAACAGGACTGATACTATGAGTCCGTTGTCTCGTTTCACAGTTATATCATTCAGATAGTCTACTAGGGATGCATCGCATGATCTGAACCTAAGAAGCCCATCCTGGGAGGTCGAGATGAGATTATTAGTAGGTAGATGTTGAACTAAAACCGCCTTAACTACTTTCCCCATCACTGTAGATACCACTGATGTTATCTTTATGAGAGGGCAATTGTCGACATTTGCTCCAGGTCCTGTTTTATTTTTGGGAATATGTCTAGTTTTCCAGGTAGTAGGGTAATACGCTGTAGAGAGTGATATCACAAATAGTTTGAGAAGCAATACACAAATATCATCACTACTACGTTTTAGTATGTTAACTGGAATACCATCTGGTTCTTCATTTTAGGAGTGTTTTAATGTACTAATTGCCTTCGAGATATTTTGTACATTAAATTGTACATTGGTAACTTCACAGGGAGGTACTGGGATTGGTTCTGAATCATTTAGTGGTTTTTTGTTAGTTAGTGAGAAACAACAGTGTCCACTAAATAGTTTCGTAACATGTTTAGAGTCTTCCTATACTTGTTTCTCTTCAATAAATATCCTCCCTCTCGATTTAGAACGTTTATGTTTATTTTGAAGGAGTGTGGTGAGTACAGAAGAGTTATTATTAAGTTTGACTGCACGTTTTTCCTGTGCGACTGCTTTTTGTGTACTTATTGCCTCTTTTCGGACAAATATTTCTGTCATCGTTACCAAAGAGGAAAAGTTATTGATGTTGTGGGATCGAGTACAATGTTTTTGAAGACGTCTTCTTGTACTGACAGGTATATAGGGATCGTTGGAGAACGTAGGTCTACAGTATACAAAAGGAGCGATTTTATTGATGATACTTCTGATGTTGAGATAAAATATATTGGTTAATGTGTCGGTATTGTTCGAGGTAAGGAAAGTTCTCCAATCAGTGCTTCTTATAGATCATGCCTGTAAAAACGGTGTGTACCTGCAAATGCAGAAATATATTATTATTATCTATTATTAGGTAATTGTGGAAGTTATTCCAATCAACCTTGTGATAGTTTCTACGAAGTGTTACGGTTTTACTTCTATCGGTTGTGGTTTTTACATTAAGGCTGCATATGACAATGTTATGATCTCTACCTGGAAACGTTTTTCCAATATACAAAGTATTGGGGATGAGACCACTGGTAAAGACTAAGTCCAAGATGTTTTGATGTCTGGTAGGGCTATTGACATACTGAGTCCATTGTCCAAGCTCTAGACATTCAGTAAATGATTCATAACGTCTCGGCGCTTTGACTGGCAGCCAAGAAATTTCGGGCATGTTGAAGTCACCACAAATAAGTTTGCCTGTGAATGGAAGGGATGATACTAGTGTGAATAACTCTGATAATACTGCTACTTCATCTATTGATGCATTAGGTTGACGATAAATACAGCCGATCAGTAAGGTCATGGAATTCGACGGCTTTAGTAGAATCCCCACCGAATTCTACATTTTGTTTAGTTCAGGCATATCACATAGTAGTGCGTTTAAGCTAGAGTGAGCGTGAGTAAGGCTGTAGTGGCATTGAACAATAACCACACAATCCACAAAGCTGAACACGAGACTACTCAGAAAATAGATATTCAATATTTAACGCGGATAAATACCTCACGATGGAGAAGGCGCGGAGAAGGAATTGAATGGACTGGGTTTGGTCGGATGGCATGGCTCGTCCATGCAGGCGTGGTCCATCTCAATGTTACTTTATATCTTCTATTCATATTAAATATATTGTTCTTTCTCTAGCCTAACCTTGTTCTACATCATGTATTGGTAATTGATACGATACAGTGAGTTGGTGTAGTCAATGGTGTGACTTCCACGTAAGATCTTATAGATTAGGCAGTTATATCATGACAAATCTGCAAATTTAGGATTAGGTCTATTATTAGAGCAGTACTAATATCATAGTAGACCATAGTTCTACAAGGCATCCTCCGCCTCGTTTTTTCAATCTATCACTTCTATATAGGAATTAGTTAGCAAGAGATATAATTAGCTCGGAAACACTACTGTTAGTCCATGCCTCAGATATCATTATAAGTGATGGTTGATATATGTCTTATCAACGCTAGGTCGATCTGCAATAAGAAGACGAATCTAGCCCTCTTTGTATATATATATATATATATATATATATATATATATATATATATATATATATATATATATATATATATATATAAGACATATATTAAAGTTAAAATGGGTGAGAGAATCTAGAATAAAGTTGTTGTAACCCACGTGGGTGTGAGATGGGCTTAAAGTGAGGAATTTAATGTTCTTCAATAGCTCGGTATTTTGATAGCTAGACTTAGTGGGAGGTGTATCAAATGATCTAGTGAAGTTGATTGGGGAGTTTACCTAAGAGGGAGTACCCTCTGATGGAAACTCTACAGGGGGAACAAGTTTATGTTCTTCATGTGGTTTGAAATGACTTGGGTTATATGCTTCAAAAGAGGTGTCACTAGGGGTCTTATTCCAAAAAATCTTGTACAGGCCTACTGTGAAATGTACGGTTATTTGAAAAACAGTCTTGGTGGTTAAGACGGTAGCCTCTGTTATAGCTATTTAAGTTAGCGTAAGGAGGGTCTGCTGCGCGTGACTGGAAAGAGTTATGACTGTTGTTATACATGGAGGTCGTTTTTATGTGATGGGTTAATACTTAGGGGTGTGGAAAGTTTTCTTTCTGAGAGTAATTCTCAAGATCGAGTACACACAGTTTGAGCGATCATTTGGCCGGGGTTCTATATTATTACAATGTGAATGAACATGTTCCTAACTGCCTCTTAACAGAAAATATTCCAAACGGGTCAGCTTTAACAGATTCAAATAGATGGTCACGTTCTTCCATTCTCAGGACTGAAACGAATTTCGGCATTTGTTGTCTTATTTGGTCATTTCTTCTCTTGGATTCGACTCACTTGTTATTCGCACTTCTCTCCTTTCCTCGGTACCCAATACTTAGTTTCCATGCTAACTCACAACTATGTGAACCCTAGGTATCCTTCAGCAACACAATAATATAAAACTATCGGTGACGATATCAGGCGTTTAGTCGACCGAGTACCTAGATATACTGCCCCTATGGTTACATCGTAGAAAATAGTACAAACTCCCATACAAACTATCTCGCCTACCACCTCTGAATTTGATCTTTCTACACATTCCTTAAGTTGTAAATATTCCAAGATACTGCTGGCTTTATATAGCCCAATCGTCTCATTAAGTGGTTCTAAAATTACCCGTTTCTGGGTTCCAAGATTATTTGGTCACTAGCGACACTACATCCGGACCTCTGTTGACCTTGTAGCCATCCATTTTCTTCAAATAGTCTGGTAATCCTATTAACCACAGCCGGTAATAAAATGTGCCATGAAGGGTAATGAAAAAATAATGATAATAGTAGTAGTGCTTTCACATTATTCAGAACCAAAAACACGTAAACATTAAGTATCTCGTGCAGTCGCTCCGCCTGGAGTCCCTCCGGGGGCTACTGCCGGTCCCAAGCCCGAATAAAGGAGGAGGGTTGGGCATGGGGTTAGCGTCCCCATCCCGTAGAAAACTAACTCGCTAAAAAAACGCTAATCAGAAAAAATTATTCAAATCTTTTAAACTCTGCCCTGGGAGTCAGATCTTCATTCAGAAGAATTATGACGCCTCATGATGAAAGCCGAATTCCTTCGGAAGTTACGAGGCCGATGCCCCTTCTGACAACCAGAGCGACCATTTATTTAGGTACATGGAATGTTCGTACAATGTGGGACACCGGGAGAGCCTTCCAAACTGCTGCAGAAATGAGGAGATACAACCTAGAGGTACTTGGGATCAGTGAAACACATTGGACACAAGTTGGACAACAACGACTAACTACAGGAGAGCTCCTGTTATACTCCGGCCATGAAGAAGAAAATGCACCACATGCACAAGGAGTTGCATTGATGCTGTCCAAACAAGCGCAAAATGCGCTTATAGGATGGGAATCTCATGGACCAAGGATCATCAAAGCCTCGTTCAAAACAAAGAAAGAGGGTATTTCAATGAACATCATCCAATGCTATGCGCCTACCAACGACTACAATGAAGACGCTAAAGATCAATTCTACAATAGGCTGCAGTCAATAGTCGAGAAGTGCCCAACAAAGGACCTGACCATTCTGATGGGAGATTTCAACGCTAAGGTTGGAACGGACAACACTGGATATGAAGACATCATGGGACGACACGGACTGGGAGAAAGAAACGAAAATGGTAAGAGATTTGCAAATCTATGTGCCTTCAATAAGCTGGTCATAGGCGGCACCATATTCCCACATAAACGCACACAATAAACCATATGGACTTCACCGGATCACTCTACACAAAACCAAGTCGACCATATTTGCATCAACAAAACGTTCAGGAGGACTATAGAGGACGTGAGGACCAAGAGAGGAGCTGATATAGCATCAGATCATCACTTACTGGTCGGCAAGATGAAATTGAAACTCAAGAAGCACTGGACAACGGGGCAGACAGTATCACAAAAGTTCAATACGGCCTTTCTCCAGGATACTAACAAACTCAACAAATTCGAGATAGTCCTCAGCAACAAGTTCCAGGCCTTTCATGATCTACTCAATGGAGAAGGAACTACTGTGGAGGGCAACTGGAAGGGGATCAAAGAGGCAATCACTTCAACATGTCATGAGGTCCTGGGTCACAAGAAGCACCACCACAAGGAATGGATGATCTAGACTTCGCAGATGATCTGGCCCTTCTATCCCAAACGCAACAACAGATGCAGGAGAAAACGAACAGTGTGGCAGCAGCCTCAGCAGCAGTAGGTCTCAATATACACAAAGGAAAAAGCAGGATTCTCCGATACAACACAGAATGCACCAATCCAATCACAATTGACGGAGAAGATTTGGAAGATGTAAAAACCTTTACGTATTTGGGCAGCATCATTGATGAACAGGGTGGATCTGATGCAGATGTGAAGGTGCGGATCGGCAAAGCAAGAGCAGCATATTTACAACTGAGGAACATCTGGAACTCAAAGCAACGGTCAACCAACACCAAGGTCAGAATTTTCGATGCAAATGTCAAGACAGTTCAACTGTATGGGGCAGAAACCTGGAGAACTACGAAAGCCATCATCCAGAGGATATAGATGTTTATTAACAATTGTCTACGCAAAATACTTTAGATCTATTGGCCGGACACTTAGCAACAACGTACTGTGGGAGAGAACAAACCAGATCCCAGTGGAGGAAGAAATCGGGAAGAAGCGCTGGAAGTGGATAGGACACATTGAGGAAAGCACCCAACTGCGTCACAAGACAGGCCCTCACATGGAATCCTCAAGGCCAAAGGAAAAGAGGAAGACCAAAGAACACATTACGCCGAGAAATGGAGATAGACATGAGAAAAATGAACAAGAATTGGATGGAACTAGAAAAGAAGGCCCAGGACAGAGTGGGTTGGAGAATTTTGGTCAGCGGCCTATGCTCCATTGGGAGTAACAGGCGTAAGTAAGTAAGTAAGTAAGCAGTCGCTTGAGGATGAATAAACCTTATTCTGTGGTCACTTGTACTCTGGTCCTCTTACCAGCCTCAGACGTCTAGAACACTTATCTTCAAGTGGGCCTACGTTCAAAACATCTATGAGTGACGAACCAGTTGGATCCAATAATTACGTTGTTTAAGGTTAGTGGTCCTAGTGCGTAGCTTGGATGTGGTTATCTTACTTAATATTAATCGGGTAATGCCGGCCGGTATCCGAGACGAGAAAATATTGTTCTTTTGTTATGTTAATTGCCAGGTTAGACTACGCTCTAGTAACATTTTAATTGCACTCGAACAATTGCTTATTTTCATAATACAATGCAATGATGTCAAATTGAAACCATACATTACCCAAATAAACGAAAAAATTGCCTCACGTGATGATGGAACCTGTCTCGTGTGCGTAGTTATGAGGTTTTTCGGGCAAGATATATTGCGAATTATATTTTTAGACCATTATCCTGGGAAATTTGCAAAAGCGAATGTTTTGCATAGCATGATAATGTAGCTTTGTGACTCACTATTGGTCCGTATGATTAAATTAATTTATTTCTGACATGACAGTTACTTGCCAATTTTACAGGCACAACCAAGGCATGCGAAATGGTATACATTTAGGGCACTAGCCCATTAGAGTTATTAAGATTTAATCAGAGATCCAGTAAAATTTTACAATCAATTGTACATGGAGACATATCATCTGTGTATAAAGTAGATTTGTGTAATGGGATTGGTCAGTAATTTTGTAGTTTTCATATAGTGACAGAGAGAAGGTATTTGGTATGAGCTGCGATCTTGTAAAACGTGTAAATTAGGAATGTAGTGAATGATAAGGTAGAAGCTCGACGTATTCATGCTGTAAAAGTAGTGGTGAGGAAAAAGTGAAGAACGAAATACAAGCACTAAGAATAGTGGACACGAACTCTCTAAAATTGTCGAATGTTTGAAACACAACAAATAAGGATATGTTTACTTTCTGGTTGGTATCACTAGAATGAACTACATTCAAAACGTCTACAGGCGAATTATGGGAAAAAAGAGCAACAAGGTGGAATAGTTCTAAGTATTATAGGGGAAGCTGAAGTAGGTCGCAGTAAGGCTTCAAGTGAAATAAACTAACGTAAAGTGTTTAGAGACACCAAATGCTTCACTATCTTTAATTACTTATTATTTTTTATTGATCACTCCTTTCTTTTATCTGATGTGACCCACCATTTATAAGGTGAAGCCAAAATAAAGCTGAATTCATGATGTGATAAACATAAAAGAACAATTTCAATATCGCAATAATATAATATATTTCTGCCAAGATAGGTACATGCCATTTCCACAGGCATGATCTATAAGTTACAACATAAGTTTGCTTATGGTATGCTTCCTAAGTAGTTGTTAAATAAATGAAATCCACAAAAATAAAAGACAGCACATTCATGCAGGTGTCCCAGAGGTTTAACGATCTGGTTTCTGAATACGATTTCTCAAATATATTTCCAAGATATTTTTAATCGTAAAATGCCTGAAACAAATGAAATGTTATGCACTACGGAGGCGGGTGGGTTGAAATCATCACTCTCAGCGTAAATATTTGACAGTCACTTAATTTACCCTCACTCCTTTTGTGATATTAGACTCTTAAAGTGGTCTCCATACTAAGTTCAATATTGTGGATTTGCCATGACGTGACAACCTAATCCATAAAATCTTACATAGAAGAAACATAATAGTCTACGCCGACTCATCCTATCGTGACATTCAGAACTTCCCATGAACACATTTGAACTGGGAAGAGAGTGATATATTTAATACAAAAAGCAAGAGGTCATATAGAATGTCCGCGCTTGAATGACGGAGCCATGATATTTTTATCAGCTGTCCCCATGTTGACCATTACTGACCTTTCCGTGAATTTTCTCAGATACCTCATGTTCAGCTTCGAGGATCGTGTAGTTAAAACCAATACCACTACATATGTATCTTGAAGTGCTCAAATTGTGAAATGTAGAAAAAGAGCTACAGAGGCTTTTAGAAAGCAGAAAATCGTGAGAGGAGATTGAGATATACTTGAAACATTAAAAATATGCCTAGTTACGAAGTTAGTGTAAGGTATAAATATTAATTAATGTGGCTTAAACTAGGCATGGTACGTTGAGAAGGTAGCAGAACATAAATAGTTTTACATGGAAAAATTAAGGTAGTTCGGAAATAAAGTGTAAAGAGAGCTTCTGGACTAAGGTTTGGACTGAAGTATTGCTATCTAGGTGGGTTAGATAAGCGCCGTCGCCCGGTTGAAACCAAAACAAAGTGACAGTTCTAAAATTCATTATAAATTTAAATGTACATTGTTAACTAAACAAATATGGCCACCAATCTAGTCAACCAATAATTGTTCAATTAATCAAATCTAAATTACAGTAAATAAGGAAGTTGATAATGAATGCGAGAAAATTAACCATCTCAACAAATAAATGTTATTCTATCCTGTCTGGATAGATAACGCACAGATTCGTTCGAAAGATAATATTTGGTTGCTTTATAACACAGAATGTTTCGAATTCTGGAAGATTGCTTCAATTCACAATCAAAAATCCACAATTCCAGTCAATACAAGCAACACAATCAAAAGGAGGAACAAACCAATATGGCTGCTGTCAAGACTAAGTATCAAGTAAAACAACATAAATTCAGTTCAGGAAGAAACATGGAAACTTAGTGAAGGTGTAAGAAAAATAATAAAAATATACAATAAAATACAAGTATTACCAACTCAAATGGAATCAAAAAGACTAACAAAATGTACAACTAAATCAATCAATAGGAACAAACTGCAAGTGTATACATGGAGGGATTTTCACACACAAAACATTCAAAATGAGTCTTACACTTGCTACAAAGAGAAAAATGTTTCATCTTGCTAGATATAAGGGCTATGAACGATGAGTGTTAACGTCTTGGATACATAATTTATTAGGTACTATTCTGTTCGCATTGTTAGTGAAAAGTGTGGTGATAGATTTAGTGAACCTAGGTGGAGTAGTTGAGCATCGAATATAACCACGTAAATTATTCCACAATACTTAGTATTTAACAGCAAAGTAAAAAAACTTGCGGCTCAGTGGTACACAATAAACGCATATGTAAATACCTGTTGTGCCACACCAATTCATTTTTCAGATGGAGATTTTTTTATAGTGAGAAAACCATATGTTCCGTTCAATAAATTAACCAAAATATAGTAGGCTTGTCTTCAGCAATAAGATACGCAGCTTCTTGGTTGACTCTACAATACATGGGATACTAAGCATAAGGATGCTTCTGAAGTCACTCAAAATGGGGTACAACTCAAAAAGTGGCCTGAAATCCTTCGAAACAGTCCCATGAATTTAGCTTTCCGGACACTAATGAAATATATGAAAGAAATAAATAAGGTTTATTTTATGTACTAATTGTGTCAAGATGATGAACAAGTTAGTGTTAAGTATTATGTGGATGACGGATGACCTTACAAATTATTTTTCAAAGAGACGTCTGAATAACTTTGTATAAAATGATTGGAACAGGCTTAATTCAGTGCATTTGGGATATAGGAGTAAGTTGCTGACTAGGGTAACTGGCAGCAGACTCGAAAACTTCATTGGTGTATGACGCTTTGTAAAACCAGAGTTCTCGGCCATTTTCAGATTAATTTCAGTGTGTAAGTTGAGGAGGTAGATGGCAATGGCACATGTGCAAATTACCATCGCTAATAGATGGAGAATTATATTTTCGTTATTAGCAGTCCTATAGTTTACGGACGGTAGTCTCGGACAAAGTTCATGAAGACTTGGGGCATGGAGTCTATAATCTAAAATGATGGAAACCATCAAACGTAGATCTTGGTGATCAAAACAATGGAAAGATATAAAGAGTCATGTCAGAGACTATATCTGTCAAAATACTGACAGCACATAGGAAAACCCTTGTGTGTCCTTGGTAAGTATGAAACCAAGTTACCTGAATGAGATAACGAGGATCTACATTGTTCGGCCACTGTGGGAAACCCACAACGTAAATAGGCATATTTT